ACATAGAAATAGAGATATCTTTTTTTCTTTTTGTATATAATCTCCATATCATATTTTGTAAAATCAGTTAGATAATCAAATAGAAGATAAAATTTTAAATCAAACGATATAATAATTTTTGAAAAGGTTTTTTTGTATCACACAGAACTTTTCTTTTCTTTGCAACTTCATGACATCGTTCTATCTCTATATGTAGACACATAGAAACAGAGATATTCTTTTTTCCTTTCTCTATATACTCTCCATACCATGTCTCATAAATCCAGCTAGGTAATAAAATAGAAAATCAAAATTCGAATCGAACGATATAAAACTGGTCAAAAAAATCTTTTCTATCAGAGAGAACATTCCTCTACTTTTAATTTTATCATATCGTTTTAACTCTACATGTAAACGCATAGAAATAGATATATATCTTTTTTTCTTTTCCCATAAAATCTCCATATCGTATTTTATAAAATCATTTAGATAATCAAATAGAAGATAAAAGTTCCAATCAAAGGACATAAATTAGTTTTTAAAAAATATTTTATAACAGAGAAAATGTTTTTCTTTTTTTAATTTCATGACATCGTTCTAGCTTTGTATGTAGACACATAGAGATAGAGACATCATTTTTCTTTTTTCATGTAGTTCCCATATCGTATTTTATACACTCAGTTAGGTAATCAAATACAAGATAAAATTTCAAATCAAACCATATAAAGTAATTCATAAAACATATTTTGTAACAGAGAGTGTTCCCTTTTAATCTCATCGTATCGTTTTATCTACATGTAGACATATAGAAATAGAGATATCTTTTTCTCCTTTTTTCATATAAACTCCATATCATATTTTACAAATCCAGTTAGATAATGAATTAGAAGAGAATAATGGAAATCTATTCATATAACTTTTTGCATAAAAAGTCATCTGTAATAGAGAGCAGTTTTCTATTCTTTCAATTTCTTGGCGTATTCGAATTGAGATATGCAAATATTGGATTTAATATGTATATACATACAGATAGATCAATAAATTGATAGATTATATAAAATTCAATAGAGAGTTAAAAAAAGCAGATGCTATAAGATTTATGTAGCAGTATAGAAAAGAAAAGCTACCTGAAAAGAAAAAGAGGTGAGCGAGATTAATTGTTTTTGCTTAAAAGATTGAGATATGAAAAATGAAAAAAACTACGAATATTAAAATTTAATTTTTGTTCTGTTTAATTTGCTTTAGTACATATCGATGGCATCGGTTGAATCTTCATGATTATGCACGTTCACCCATTCGTCGATAATAATATCAAAATCAATCCACTGATCATCGATCTCATCGAAAATACTTTCTGAGTCATCGAAATCAAAGATACTCATGGTATTATCGTTGTAAAGATTCGCATCTTCATCGTCATCGTTATCATAAAAGCTAATATCATTAGCTTCTGCACATGGTATCGGGGGTACATACTGAAAATTAAAGAGTAACATCTTATGCGTCGTATGATAGATCTTTCAATGAAAGACTTACTTCAGTTCGTATACTAACATCTAATTGTAGAAGATCACATTCAACAAGCCAAACGTTTGGAAAGACCGGAGGCCAATGTATACGATATTGGCCCGGTTCATTTCCTTCCATGTCTAAGAGTATATACTTATTTAGTGAAGTCTTTTAGTTTAAAATTAGTATTCTTACAATGTGCGACCGTGTGAGTGGTCCGATAAAGTGGCTCTCCATCTAAGAATCCAATATGCACGAGTGGACCGAAACTACCGTGTCCATCATCAACATGCTTGGCTGTCACAGGTGCCACTGCGATCAGGTTATCTGTTACCAAAAAAGCGTGCTGTAACATATTGTTGTTTATTATTTCATTTACGCAGTTTGATTCCATTGTTGTAACTTTTCAAAAAGAATAAGTTTAAGAAATGTACATCAAGCTACTTCACTTCTATATATAGCATGCCACTGATATCGATAAGACTCTTATCACTCCCAAATCAATTCAACTCAAATAAACACATTTTCGACAGATATACATATGCTATAACAAACAAATCAATGACCATCATGCACCGAATAGATTTATGAGTAGAACGATCATTATTAATTATATTACATTGAGTCATGAAATCCAATCATGTTATCCTGACAGTTTGTATATTCATGAACATATCATATTTCTATGTCATGTTAAAGTTGTCTGGAACAACTAAGTCTTCAACATTAAAAAAAATCAACTATTGTAAAATAAAACAAATGATGTCTGCACCTTTGGTTCGTAGATATACCTTTTCTGTGATTTATTCATTATTAACAAATGACAAATACATCAATAGTTTTCAATTTTGTCAATAATTTCTTTACTATTACATGTTTTTTGTAACACAAACAATAATATCTGAATTACACACTAAATGACTCAGTTGTTCATAAAAAATTTACAGTTGCTATATATATTTTTTTAAGCTTGCTTCTATTCTTACTCTTAAACAGTACCAATAAAATTCAAGCATTTGAATTCAATTCACTGTTGTCGTTAATAAAAAATGTCAATAAGTATACACTAGTATTATTCTATGTAAGTACTCTATCAAATAAAACTTATGCAATTCTATGCATGTCAGCTTTCGAACTTCTTTTTATCTGAAAACATCCAAAAGAAAATGTGAATCAGTTTAAATATAAATCCTAGAAAATGAACATTAATTTGATTATTATTTTATGTTCATCATTTGAGATTCTTATAAAAAACGCAACTCTTTATTTATCTGATGTACTTGTAGTGCATCAGCTATAGCGTTTGATTATCATTGTATGTAAATTCATGCATAAGATCTTTCTGAAAGTAATGAATCTGTTTAGATTAGATGTTTTTCTTTACATCAATATATTTTTTCATTGAATGCATATTGAAGTATCAGATAAGAAGATGTAGGAGAAAATAAATGTTAATCTAAAACAACATCTTGTGAAAATATTGAGTAAAGACTCCATCGAAGAAAGTTTCTTTTAAAAAAACTTAAAAAACGAAATGACTTTTTTATTAATTATTTTGTTATTCAACTTTATTTTATTTTACTACGATGTAACCAGTATTAAGAAACATTATCTAGCAAAAACAAAGAAAGATTTAAATTGAGTTAGTATAAATTTGAATATGAATATATCCAAGAAAAAGTAATAAGATTTAAATTGAATTAGTATAAATTTGAATATGAATATATCCAAGAAAAAGTAATAAGATTTAAATTGAATTAGTATAAATTTGAATGTGAATATATCTACCAAAAACAAAGATTAGACTTATTAAATAAAAAAATGAGTATTAAACTACGGCGAGTAAAATCATTTGAACGTGAAAATTCATATGACAAAGTGTTTTTATGGAAAATTCATTACGAAGGAGAAAAAATATATAATAGAACCAATATACTTACAGCTATCGATAAACTTTATTCAAAATTTAGGCCACAATGCCCGCATCTCTGGCTTTGGCTTACTTCGCTCTCTTGTCCATCAATGGAGCTACCCCACCCTCGTTCATTACAGGAAGTCACAGAACTTCCATCCGACTCTTGAATTTCTTCTTGAGTTGGATGGAAGTTATGAGTTACTGTTGACCCGAGTGGTGAGGAGAACTATAAATACAAAATGTAGTTTAGAAATTCTTGTCGACATCGATATAAAGTATAGATACTTACTCCTGTGCGGATTGTGACGTCCACCTGTGTTAAGCCACACTCAACTACCAACACTTTCGGGAATAAAGCCGGCTCATGAAGTCGGTACGAGCCGGCATCTTCACCTTGTAAGGCTAAAAGGAATTTCATTATATTAAAATTTAAAAAAAAATATTATCAATATGTAATTACCAGTGGCCAGTGCCATGGTTGTCCGATACACTGGCTCTCCTGCCTTATAACCTAGTAAGACCATGGGACCAGTGATCCCAGGTCCAGTTTCAACATTTCCTGAAAGTGTTGGTGTGATTGGAACTAAGTCGTCAGTGATGGTACTAGCATCACGACGAGACCAGCATGGTCAGACAGTTCCTATTTTTTACAGAGTTAAAGTTTTACAAATTGTAGCATCATGCTACTCACCTGGCTCGCCACGCACTAAACTACTAGAACGGCAAGCAGATACGCCTGCCGCACAGGCACTCGTATCTTCAAACGAAGTATGCCCCCATATAATTCTGCTAGTATCAGCAGTTTCCATGCTTTCGCATAGAGAGATAACTGAAATTATACTCTCTTGAGAACCTAAATTAATACTCAATTCCATTTATATTCAAAACAAAGTGTTAAATTATTATTTTTACCGTTTTGACTATTATTTGACTCCATTAATCTTAGAGTAACGTAAAAAAATCAACTATTTCAAATATTTAAGATGAATTTTATATAAATTTTATGTAAAAAAGAAGAATGTGGGTATAGCTTTAATTGAAAATGAGATGAGTGAACCAATTTTGTTTATTTTTTTCTTCGAACTTTGGTATATATATATATATATATGAATATGTACGTGCTAAATAATACTCATCAGGGGTCCATTTCATGTTGAAAAAAAAATAAACATTCTCGAAATACATTGATCATTTTTCATTTTTACAGTAATGAACGTTATCAATCAGACATCATCTTTTACAGCATTAATTAATCATCTATGTATATATAGATCTCTTCAAATACGCTTCATTAAAAAAAAAAGAAAAATTTAGCATATTGAACTTTGGTAACAAAATTGTGCATTTCAATGAAAAAAATTGATCAATTCAATTCAACTAAGCTCAACTCATTTGAATTCATGAGTTGAATTGAACTGAGTCTACCAACTCGTTCTGCCTAGTTGAACGACTGTTTCTTAAATTTTTCGTTTTCAATGCATTTTCATTTATCATTTAAAAATACAGCTTTCCTAGATAATATTGTATTCATGAATTAAAATTACTTTATATATTACAGTAATTATTTACAAAATGATACAATAGAAAGTGTACACTATCTAAGTACAATAAGAACTATTTCGATAGCGACTGTATGTACTGGAAAAGTTTATCATTTTTTTATACTTTTTATTGAAAAAATTGAAAAATTAATCAGTAAAATCAGTACTAACATATTTGGTGCATTATATTGATATATTTTTGTCTTTCTCTAATAGAAGCAATACCGAATAGATTACTTAAATAAAAACAATACGTTTGATCATTTCTACTCCCGAAAGATGGTAGTCAAGCATTGATTAAAGAAAATATACAAGAAAACAATAAGTAATGAAAGATAATTAAATTGATTCTTTGATTGAAAAATATATTGTCAATTATGATTATTTAATACTTACGCATTCTGTGTTCGACAGAAAAGGCAATAGTCAGTAAATTAGTTGACACATTGTCATAATGATTGATTATCGGTCTTTTAATCAATGTATCTGTAAGATTCGATATAAATACAATTGAAAAATATTACAATAATCTATCGAAAAGATATATTGCCCTATTTCCAATTCTGTTACTTTGAATAATGTATTCCACTAATTTTCAAAGAAAAAAAGTGATTCAGCGCGAATCGAATGTGCAACGAAAGATGCATGAAAGCGTTAACAATAATCTTTGCGTATTATGAACGTAATCAGTTTTCTTTTTGCTTGAAGAACAGAATAAAAAACAGTGTCAGATAAAAAAAAAGGAATTCAATTCTATTATAAGATAACTATCGATAAAGATAAAACAGCGTGATTAAAATTGTTATTATTATAAACTAATAATATAGTTCGTAAGGATACAAATTATATGATTTTATATCCATAGAAAAATAATCTAATGAGTTGTTTTTGATTGACGTGAACATGTAAGATTTCCTGTATTGGTTTCCTTAACTTTGTCTACAATATCATGAAGAACATGAACATCGAGTCCTACGTTATTGTTATTATTGTGTGAAATTGTATCAATTTTATGATTTTCTTCACGTTTTTCTGTTTGATGGAATGCTGCCGGAATTATTGTTTGTTTTTCCTAGTGTGAAACTATTGTTTAGTATACTCTTTCTCATTACAATTAGTCTTACTTGCTGATTAGAAAATGTGCTTTCAAACTGATCACTTTTTTTCACTGTGAGAATTTGAGTACCTTTTATTTATACATAGAATAATATATCAGGATATTGACAAATTCCAAGATATTTACCATTGTTTGAACTACATGATTGAAGAATATCATGATCAGAAGCTAATGAGAAATCATCCGACTTCGAGCTCTCTAGAAAGGAGATTAAAATGTATCATCTCTTATTCTAATTATCAGTTGATATTAGCTGACCATCAATTTCCGTATCAGAAATATCCGAAAACGGATATCCAGCTCGAAATTCATCATCATCATCATCATCTAAGTATGTACCTAATGGAAATTGAGCAAGTTCAGGTGGTAACACAGTATTTGAGGGTAGGTTGTAGTAAGCATTATAATTTTCCATAGTTGAGGTAGTTGATTATAATGTAAACGTAATTGATATTCACTAGATATCTAAGAAGCTATTTTCGAAATTCAATATATTTTATGTTGATGAAAATGAAAAGTAAAAGTATCAAGATTCATTATATTCCCATCTCATTATGGCAATACATTCTATATCCTCGCATTTATGATTTTTTACTAAAAGCTACTTTAAAAAAAATGATATGCACATTCCATTTCAACATATGTCTGAGAAGCTAATATTTTTCAATAATTAATTATTATTATTTTATTTCTGCATCCTTTTATATACTAAATACTTTACTATGTGTTTTCTTTTTATCTATTCTTATATCTGAGCATATTTTTTTATAGCGTGAGATCAAATTTTAGATTGTTTTCTATACTTATAGAAAACAAACACATTTTCATCTCTTTTTTAATCTCAAGGATAACATATACGAATTAATCAACAACCAGTAGTTGCGTATTTTTTTCTTTTACAAAATATTGTAATTAACTCATGTTTGATTAACACAAAGTAATTCGTATATAACTTATATGTACACTTAGGTTACGGCTGAATAGTTTGTAGATAATCAGAACTGATTGAACACTTTGTCAAATCATTCAAAAAATACATAACAACATTCTGCTGTCAAGTCACTTAACAATCGTTTGAGGAAAAAAAAGAATCAGTTAGAAACTACCTACGGCCTGGTACTAACAGATATCTAGTTTCTTTAGTATCAGATTCTGTCTGACAAGAAAACAAATTAGCATCTAATGCCGCATTTATTTTTTGATAATGATACAAGTATGAATTTGGACTTGAATTTCACTCATATCATGATTCATTTTCAAATCTTTTCAGTATAACACAACATATATGTGTATGTATTACAATATCACGTAACGCTTAAAAGACAACGATACGTCTTTGCATGAAAATTTTAAAAAAATGTACATTGATATAATTCTTTTATTTTATTTTGATATTTGATGACAAAAATGTTTCTTTCTTTTCATTTAAGTACATGAGCAAGTAATTAATCAAGCTCGTCAATCTTAATGTACATTATTTGTTTCTTCTTTCTATTTATGACCGAACAGAAAGAGTGATAGAATGAATAATTCCGACGGCGATACTGCTCGACATGCATTCAATGGAATAATGACAAGAAGAAAAAAGTATAAATGATTCTTTTACCGCGAATTTCTCTTTTTTATGATTGCGATAATTTTTAGCAAAGTCAAAAATATGAGCTGGTTAGAAATATTCTAGTAAAATAATTTATAAATACATGATACTGAGTGCGTTTCGAGTAAAATAATTTGAAAATAAACTATTGATGTATTTCATAGAAAAAATTTCATTTTAAACGAGTCATGTTTGATTGAACTTATCACAGTATAATCCTCCGTTGTATTTTATATGTGTGTTATCATCTCAAAATAAATTGCATATTACATTTGATATATTTCACGTGTCAATGTGAAAACTAAATAATTTTTTTTCTTTTGATCTTTAGAATTAGAAACAACTAAGACGAATATTGAATTATATTTCTGATGTGTCTATCTAATAAGTAGAATAAAAAAATAAGATAATGCTAATTTCGATTTCGTTTACTCATTACCTACATGCCACTATCTGTAGAACACGATAAAGATATTAAATATTTTTTCTTTGACATTAAAAAACAGAACAGTAAAATTTAAATCTAAAAGCAAACAATAATAATGATTAAATAATAAAATTAGAGTAATATCAGTATGTAATTTCAAGCGTGAATATCAGAATACATTCTACTTAAAAAAAAAGTAACAACATTATTATATTTTCATGCACACAAAAAAGATATATATTTAATGTTTATAATAATTCTTCATAACCTTTGAAATGATTATATTCCGTGTTTACGCTCGAATTCAAGTGTAAATTCCAACAGTTCTTCATCTGTGATTTCAGAAACTTGTTCAACCATCGTAGCTGCGCTCACAAATTTTGGTGGAACATTTATAGCTGAAAGCATTGAAACATTTTCTTCAAGCACAGGAGTTTCGACTTTCATTTTTTTAGTTCCAACATCTATATCATCACTGACAGATCGTTTTTCTATGCTATTTGATGAATTGATCGCCTATGATAGTTTTTCATTTCACTAATAATAAATTATAAAAGGATGAAGTTTCTTACTACCTTGCCATTACTCAAATTGATTCGTTCAAAAGGCACGTTGACGTTCGTTGTGTTCTCTATAATAAACAAAACATTCGTTTTAAGAAAAAAAATGCTATTTTTCCAATTATTACTTGATACGTTTGACATATTATTAAATTTGGATTAATAATTTCTTATGTATAAGTTACTGTAACTTAGTTTTAAGTGATCTGAAAATAGATTAAATTAATAGTAAAAAGTTATTTATTTGTATTTTGTATTTTATTGTGAAGATACAAGATTGTTGACACAACATTTTATCGATTCAAAATGAATTAAAACAAAAAAAAGGGAAACTGATTTTTTTGTAACCAGCAAATTTTGTTTTCAGTTTGTGTAAATGTGATGGTTTGTAATGCTGTTTAACTAAAGATCTATACATGAGAAGAAAAATCTTTAAAAAAGTTAATTTGAGAGTTTTACGAGCTGATACACGAATTTTGATGATATTGCAATTGATGCAGTGTTGTCAAGTTTTGTTAAAATATGTGCAGTAGATGATAATTCTTCTACGAAGAGTTGTTCGTGATGAATATCCATTTTGAAAGCATTAACACTGTCAATAACATCTGTGCGCAATAGTTTTAGCCCATCGATTAAAGCATCTTTAAGTTGAGCAGATGTTGCCGCTTTTAGGTAGAAAGCTGTTGAATGTACTTTAATAAGATAGTTCAATTTTGAACTATAATCGACACCGTTTTCTATTTTCAGTTATAATGGTGAATATTTTTTCCTTCAATTTTACTCTTAAAAACTTACTGTGAAGTTGACAAAGTTCATCAGCAGCTATCCGAGCCGTTTTCATAGCGTTCAGACATGAATGAATGCTTTGAATAAGTTTCTTTTTATCCTGTGTATTTAGAGATAGATTGCATGAAATTACATCTAAACCAGAACTAGAACTTACTAAGATTGATGATTGGCAAACAGATGTTTGCACAATACTTTGGTCACCTCCTATAGCGGGACCAAGTATACGCTTAGCGCGTTGTTCTAATGTTTCATCTGTTCGTCGTGAACAATCTTGTTGAATGACGATAGATGAAGAATAAGAAAAAAAGTAAATGTGGTAGATAAGGATGGAAAAGATATAGGTGAAGATGATAATGTATGGAGATTTGAACGCTTACTCAGCTGGACTGGTTCTTTTTCTTTTTGTTGGATTAGAAAAGGATTAGGCTGCATTGGTTTTATCGTAACGTTAGGTAATCGTCTGCAGAGTTGATCAGCATTCTCCATATCAGCATTGGATGCAAATTCGACATAATACACGTTCTTCTTCAACGATCGTGGTTTATGAAAAGAAATAATACGCAATTTCGACTTCATTTCTGAAGTAAATTTGTCTGCGTACAAGACTCGTCGATACTTCATGATCTACTTGTGGTAAAATAAGTACAATTTGATTATAAAACTACCTTACTTTACAATACACATTATTTTCTAAATTATATTCAAAGAATCGAACTATAGAATTTCACTTTATAAACGAAAATATGAACTCATAATATCTCATCTATCAATTCATGTTAATTTACTAATAATAACAATACAGAGATAAATAAATTTTTTTGATAAAATATGATACTTCTATTCTTTGTATAGTCTAAACAAAGTGGTATAATATCTATACATTTCGGTTGCGATAATAAGTATATATATAGTATTATACCTTAAGTCCTGTCTATGTGATACAAAGCTACAGTATACTAGTATGTTTGATTTCTTTTGTATACAAGCTGTCTTTAGTTCTTTTTACAGTTGATCTTTTATTCTCTACATATTCTAATTAACGCTAAGAACCACATAAACCTTTTATTATATAACTTTCTGCACTAATGTATAAGACGAAAATTTTAGGTGAAAGCTACTAACTAATTTTTGTTACAATATTCACTTTTCTCTTCGTGGTTCTGCGCTTATCAATATCACATTCCATTATGACGACATCCATCAAATATATTTTTATTATCGTAGCGGTTCACGTTATGTGAGTCTTATAGTTTTTATATATTCGATCGTGAGTATGCAACAGAGAATTTGCCAAACGGCAATCGTAGTTTCGTCAGATGACGATCTTATAAGTAATACAAAAACATTAAAATATAATATATACTCACAAATGAAAATGTTCTATCAATCGAAATAAAGAAAATGCAATGCTAATTATCAGTCCTTGCCAATAAACCTAGATACATTAAAAGAAACACTTGATTATGATTAACTGTATATTCATTGCTTACATAAATTTTTGAAGTAGATAACAAGAGAGGAACTAAAATGAATAAATTATGATATTCAAAATTCAACTTTTACTCGTACTATAAATTCCGTTGTTATTCTTCTTTATTTTTTCAAAATCTTGTGCTTCATCATATTTTTTTCTTTCATTCGTATTCTGAATATTATATTACATCGATATTTTTTCTTCTTTTAACTGTTGGATAATTTATCAAAATCTAATATGATTTATGCTTATCTTTCTCTAACATTTTCGAATTAATTTTGTGCATGACTATCCGTGAGCAAAGATGATACGTGATGCGAATATCATTATATGAAAATTTAACTGGATATTTATTTGAACTATCTTCAACTATTACATAAAATAAACAAAGAGTTGAGTATCACGTATGCAAGATGATAAAAGGAAGAATTGAGTATCATGTATGTAATATGATAAATCGAAGTTTTTTTGCATCGTATGACATCATTTTCTGTTACATCAGACAATTGATAACTACCTGAAAAATTTTAACGAATGCTTTGGAAATCAAACAATGATGTAATCAGTTTGAGAAAGAAGCCTTTTACGATACATTCATCACCTATCAGCTAGAGTTCAACGTATTATGGCTCACAGAAAACTGTACACGTAAAATGTGTTAAATTCACATATATATACTATTTAATAATTAACAAAACTTGTCTTGAATTCTTTCATTCATTGCTTTTATTCATTTTTATTAAGATATTTTCTTGCTATACTCATGAATCATGAGAACATTGCTTCTCTTATAACATGTGTATTCTCTCCTCTTAAGAAAGACAATTCAGACACATGTATCATTTGTCCTTTATCGTTTAATTTCATAATCTTATGTTTCCGCAACTTTACATCCATACATATTCGCATTGAATTTTCATACAAGCCACAGTATGTTTGGTATTTCTGCAAAAAATGCTACTAAATAAATATTATTATTTGATCTTGCCAATATATATTGTCTCTACCTTCTATTGAAACAGAATTCTCGTCATACTTCTTTTTTTCTCATTAGTTATAATATATAATAGAAAAATAACGACCAGATCAATCTACAATAAGCGATATATAAATTTAGACAATTCTATTCAAGATTTTCTATCTTCTATTTCGTTGATCACTTCAGATTTTGAAAGATATGACAAAGAACAAACTATAGAAGACGAAAATATGCGTTTATTTTTTTTCTTTACATATAAAACAATATAACTTATATGCCACTGAATGATAAGAAAACTTCCCTCTACTTCTTAGAAGTATTTTTTAAAACAAAATTTAAATAATCTCATTTAGACTTTTATATCAGATGTAAATAAAAAAATAGCCTAAATCAGTCTATGCTAGAATAACGCACATTAGATGATTCAATACATCATATTGAACGAAAATCTACTCAAAATCTTTTACTCAAATATATATATGAAATAATCAATTATGAATCAAAGAAAAACTACATTTTTAACTGAAAATTTAAAAATAAATTTTGTCGTAAAAAGTTTACAGAGTTTTAAGTCATATTACTTGTTATGATTAAAATAGAGAGTACATAAGCAAAATAGAGTATATTAAAATATTTATTATCAAGGAATTTTACCTCCATTCAATTCAATTTTGATGAATCAAATGAGTGGTAAAGAATGTTGTTCACGCATATCCAACAAAGAATTTCCTTTTATTTTAACAAGTTTCTCTTTTTCGCTTAAATATTCTCATTTTAATATCTGCATGTGTGATATGTACATAGACTTCTTCAATTGTGTGATCTAAGTGTCTATAGAACTAAGAAATCAACATATTTCATGTCTGTTAAAAACTGATAATAATCTTCAATCAAATATTGCATCCAAATCAAAATATTGAATGAGTATCTCTTTTACGCAATAAAAGAAAACTACCGAAGACTGATTTGCTATTTGTCAAAAAAAGACACCAACTTATAGTCTATATATTTTACAACATAGTTGTCCTGTAAACGTATACAAATATGTATATATGTAAAAGCAACTATCTATCGGCGAAATTTTTATTTGAAAAACGTTTTTGCTCTCAGTAAATTAGTTACTGAAATGGAAATTCGAAATTCAAAATTGAATAAAAATCGTTGAATATGATCATTTAAGATTAATATTTTATCAATTTCTTTTAACTTTTCAGTTTTATTTGTTATGGTATCGTTTTCAATTGCTCAATTCTTTCATTGATTAATTTGATATGAATAAACTTTGTGATGATGTATCACCATCATATTCATATGCCTTTTTTTATCATCATCTTGAATTAATATAAGATTTCATCAAATATTATTAAATCTAGTTCTGTATATTATTTTATATAAAGATATAACTATAGCATCTGAAAGACAATCTTTTGTCTCGAATGTTACAGAAAAAGAAGATAAGTCATAGATTTTCTTTCCCTAGATAATGTAACATACAAGTTTTAATAAGATGTTTATCAGATTATCATTCGATTTCATTATTCTTGAGATCTAAATAATTTGTAATTATGTTATATATATTTTCAAGCATAGACGTAATAGTGTCTTACTTTCCCATTTATTTTTGTTCTATAAAGAAAGCAAATTGTACACAAGACGTTCTCATTAACATATAAATCGTTCGAAATATTTCAATTGAATATTTCTTTCAATTTGAATACAATATAACAATCACCAACCTTGTATTTCGACTTGATTTGATATATTAACTTTATGTTACACAAAAGACGGGACCTTTCTATTGTGATAAAAATTCAATTTGTATCTTTGGAATCAATCGTTTCTTTCGACAAAGCTCAGTTTTCTTCCGATTTTCCGTCATCACGATAATTAGATATCGATTTCGAATTACAGTTCTAATTTGTATTTTAGTTATTAAAATTATTGGCTTTTTATTTTCTTTGAAGTTTGTTCCTATTGTTTTTTATCCTAGCTGTGTAGATCAAAAATAAATGACATACATATAACATATGCATCTATGGAAATCAGAAAATCAACAGGTGAGAAAATCATCATTCAATTGAAAGCAAAAGTTTTTTTTTAAAATCTTGAACATTCAATTTTAAGGAGAAAAATGACTCATGTGATTCTAGCTAATACGATAATATCAATGATGAATGTGACTAGTGATGAACAATATTAATAGAAAATTTTTATCTTTCATTTTTCATGCATTCTTAACATAAAATAAATAGAAAGAACACTTGATTATTTAGCTATTATTCAAACATCAAATTTTCTTTAATATTATACTTTCTGTTGCATAATATAAAAGTATGTGAATAAATCATTTACATAAGTTATAATTGATAAAAAAATATTTAAAACAGATCAAAACTAAGATGACACAGTTTGTTTCATTACTCTTGGAAAAAGTCCGATCGATGAATTTATGTTTAGGTGACTTCAAAAAATTATTTTATTCTTAAATCGATTTGTGAAGTATTGGGAATATTTTTCTCATCAAATTGATGAATTTTGCATTTTCAGTTGGCAACAGTAATGAAAGAAGTTCAAGCTAATGATGTCTGTCCTATAAAAAGATCATATACAGAAGGAATTCAAAAGCCACAACAACATTGTTATTTTGATATAGTATAAACTTCTAGAGTATGAATATAACGATGTTAAAACTTGTAAAAAAGTAAAGTTTTAATGAAATGCTTCGAACCACTGAGTTTTATAAAATTTCTTTGTTTTTATATAATGTCCGTTTAGTTAAATTTCTAGAATTATAATAACTTTATCCTCATTGATTCTATTGAATTTATATAATGAACAATATTGACATTGAGTCGAGTTGTCAATATCATATTCCCTAAATCGAAAAAAAAAACATATTTCGTTTCATCTTGTGGTATTGATCAAGCAATTGATGTTTTAAGAAAATATCGACTACTTGTTCGTGATGAAGATGCGCTTTGACATAATATAAGAGACACAAACAAATAACCTTAGATTTTTAAGAAGAAAATCAACAGTTGTGGTATGAAAAATTATCAATTATTTTATTCTCATGTAAAACTATTACATCATTTTGTATCATAGTTCTATACATATAATCTACTCTTCATCTACGTGAATATGCTGATTAAATGTTTATATTATTTGATAAGAAATGAACAAATAGTCTCCCTCTTGTTTTTAACTCCTATAAAAAGCCTTGCTAGTTACACACTCTGCATTTTTCTCTACGAGACTTACAGTATATCATACTTCAAACATTTAATTGATTATATAAGTTATAATACAATGAAAATATTTAGTGCAAGCCATGTATTTATCA